ACCACCTTTTTAAACGGTAACTGTAACAGAATACAGTTACTCATATTTTGTATTTTAAATACCAGTGTTACTGCCCAACACTGGTTGTAGGCTTTCTTGTAGTGCAGGCGGTTTCTCTGGTCGTAAGAGTCCTGGTGTGCTGCTTTATCAGCCAGGAGCTTGAGTTTGGCCTTTGGTGTTTCCAAAACATTTATTGGCAGTGGTCATGTACTGAACCCACTTAGCTTTGCTACTATGATGGCTGACCAAGCGTCCATGGAGTGCTGTTGCGTCTTTAGCCATTAAGCTTGGCTCACGTTGGGTCCTGTTGCTGTCCAGCTCTTGATTCTGTCGACATACTGATGGATGAACAACAACAACACCCTACTTTCTAGCATTAAAAAAAAAGCTTGAGGAAATGCCCTGCCCTAATTCCCATCACTGCTGGGACTTCATTCTGCTGTGATGGGGGACCAGAGTCTAATTGTCAAATAACAGAACTGAATTCTGTATATTAACAACTCCTGTTCAATTCCTTCTAATCTCTCCTTACTGAACTACTAACTAGACTGTAAAACTCTGTCAGAGAGCACATCTAACGGTTGAAAAGCCTCTAAGCAAGCAGAAAAAAATTTAAGCACGCAAAATGTAAATATGGTATTAAGTTATTTTATTAAGTAAAATGACTGGAACATTTATTGAAACAGACTCAGAATGAATGTAAATGGCAAACTACACAGAGTTCAAATCAGCAACTATACACTTGGTTAAATTCATTTTCTGATATGACACAACTAAATATTTTATATTTATTTTTCTTCTCTTCAACTTCTCTCAAGCCTCTGTATTGTAAACAGAAAGGTCAGAGGTCGTGGTCACATGCAGTTCCCATGGAAACTGATTAATAGGTCTCTTGACTTTGTCCTGTTGACGTCTGCCCTCCTTGATCATCAGCTGGACATCCTCATCGTCCAGGATACGAATAAGGTCACCATCAGGGTCGCGGTAGTTCAGGGCAATATCATCCACCTTGAAAACATTCCTGGAAGAGACGAGAAAACACTTCAATAATTAGTGTGTTTTTTTAGAGTATAAAAAATATTAAGCATATTCTACAGAAATAGAAAAACTATTTGTGGGTGATGTTAGTTCTTGTTGGCAGAAATTCTGAGAGATCAGCGAGTGAGATTGTCTCAAAGCCAGTTAATTGCCTGGCTCATAACCTGTTATACATTCAACTGGCAAATCTCATAAGGGCCATCCTATTCAAGCTGCAGCTGCACCCTGTATTGTCATCACTCATCTGCAAGCTACTTTGCAACCCACTACCACCCTAGCTCCTCCCAGCTATACTCCATATTCCAAGTATATGGATGGAAGTGTGAAAAAATCCCAGAACAGAGCCATATCACCAAATATAAATGACTGCATTTGGACTAACAACCACATTTTGTTATGATTCAGTGTTATCAGTGTTTGTGTTTTATGTGTGTGACTCCTCCCACCAGAGGATGGCTGTGGGTTTTTCCTTTTCTCTCTTAGGGGGTGGACACCTGGGAGTGGCTGCTGAGTTGGGTGGAGTTTGTTCCTGTCCTAGGATTGGATAATTGGATGATCACCCCCCAGTAATTAACCACCAGATGACAGCCCCTGGCCCCTCTCTCCTAGCCTCCACCATCCTCCAACAGAGCCTGTGTTTTTGATTCGTTGTTTTACTTAGAGTGTTTTTGCAAACTGATTCGCAAGTTTAACCTCATTTGTGTGTCTGGCGTTAGAGCCTTGATCTTGTAAATCGTTGTAAATAGATTTGTATATATTGTATATATTGTTCCCTGCAGCAGCCTGGTAGGTGTGAGAAGCCATTTTTGCTGACTCAGTTTTCTCCTGGTTTTCTTTTAGAATGTTGGGTAAGTGAACTGTCTTTTGGTTGGATTTCTTTTGTATAGGGAAGCATAGGGACCTTTTTAGGGAGTTTTGTTTATTATTTTGGCATTGCTCACTGCTGAAGCAAATAAATGGCTGCTTAGCACTTTAAAAGGTACTATTGTTTTTGCGCTTTCTTGGGTGGTGCATGAGTGGGGGCCAATTTCTTGCTGTGTTCAATGTACGCCTAGATTTAGAATGTAACAGAATAAAACAGTCTTGAGATACCTTAGGAGGCCCATTTTCTGAGCTTCCTTGTTCTACAGCGCTGGCATCTGTCTTTTCTTTTCCTACTTCCTGTCTTCTCGCATGTAACCAACACCCTTTCCTCCCTATCCTTATTCTCCCCCTCCCTTTTATCAGTGCTAAGCCATATTAAAACTCAAGACCAGGGTCTCATCCATCCTACTCCAGGGCACAATAGGCCTGAACACAGAAAAACAATAATGAGCAGATAAGCGGCGGAAATGAACTGATTATGAATGGGGAGGGCTAATAATCATAGCGTTCACATATCTAAATTACCAGATAATGAGAAATAGAGGGAGAGGGAGAATGAAAGAGAAAAAGACAGATAGCGTAATGAGCACATGCATCCGGTGATGTTGCTGTGGGAAAGATAGCAAGAGGGGGGACTTGGAGGTCCCACAGGAACTAATTTGATGAGTGATGAGGATTGGCAACAGGCATTTTGCAGGTTTGCAGTGCACAATGACTAAATATGTTCCCCCTCAGGGCAGGTCGGTGAATTAATGGATTCATACCCATCGCTGTTTGTTGTGGAATTTCATTTTAACTCACAAAAAATGAAATGCTGAAAGCGTGCTCACAAAGGTCAGCAATCAGCATAGTTCATCAGTACATGCTGGAAGAAACATCAGATATGGAAATCTGCTCAATTTTGCGTGGACAAAAGCTTAGATTTGTAATGTAAATTGCAATCTTTTAACATCTAATTGCTCATGTAGACATAACCAAAACAAGTGGTGTTTTTCTTAATTCAGAAAAGAATTTGGAAGAATATTTGATATAAGAATATTTATGTGAATGCATGTACAGTATGGTTCATGTTTCTGTGCAGAGAGAGTTTACTGAAACTGTTTATGAATAAAAGCAGTCCAGAATTTTAATGGAATAAAAAGCAATTGGATCTGGGATCACATTCATACAATCTTTAGCAAACATCATGAAAACATTTAATAAACTGCAACATATAAAATATGACTATGTGAGAGAGAACCAGAAGTAATTTGCTGTTAGATCCTAATCAATCATTTTCTAATGTCTGTCATAGTTAATGAAGTCCGTGCTGTTGTGCCACATGTGTAAAGGAGTGCAATCCTCCTGCTGTGGATGGTTTCTGTTGCAATTTCTTGCCGCTGGTATGCAATAAACTCAGAAGAAAAACAGAATCAGATTATAGTCATTGATGC